ATTAAAATAAGTTCATTTTTCTCTCTTACATCCACACATAAAGAAACATGTCAATGTCAGCATGAAAGCCTCTGTAAACTCTCTTTGCTTTCATAATGTGACATGTTTATATGTGAAATTAAACATGTAGGGCGGGACTTGATTTTATCCATTAATCCATTAACCTTAAGACACAAAAAGTCAAAATTCTGAGATAAAAAGTAGTAATTATGACAAATATTTATACAGTGCGCAGCATAAATGAGTACACCCCCTCTAAAACTGTATGTAATGTAAAATGTAATGTTCCAACAAGCCTGCTTGATCAATTACCAAAGAAGAATGACAGAATTATCCAAAGAAGAATGACTTTCTTATCAAAGTGATAAAATGTTGTGTTGCAAAAATGAGTACACCCTCCTGAAAGTTACTAAATAAAAATAAAAAAGTGTATAGGTTTAAGGCTATTTTTGATCAACATGTAAGTATATTGAACCAAAATGTTTAAAGACAAGTAATTTCCTGACAATTAAAAGTGTTATATAGCCCACTGAATCATACTTAATGCTGGCAGCAGTGGAACCACTAGGGAGAGAACTGCCAGGTGGCTTATTTCTTAGCATAAAAGAGGACAATGGTACAAGAGGAATACCAAATGATTGTTTTAAGTGTGAAAATATAGCAGAAGTAGCACCAACATTCAAAAACAATGGACTTGTGATAAGGCTCCTGAAATAATCAGGTCTTCACTTTAAGTTTTCATTTAGTGATGAGTGAATTTTTGCTAGAAAAAGAGTAGGAGAAATAACATGCAAGTGTCTCAGAGCCGGCAAAAGCTATGAAAAGAGTGACACTTTATCTCACAGAGTATGACGCAGCCTGCAGAAGTGACATGCATGGTTGTTGTCACCACTACACTCTAAAAAATGCTGGGTTAAATACAACCCAGTGCTGGGTAAAATAGGGACAAACCCAGCAATTGGCACAGTATGAGCACACAGTGAGTGTGCAGTGACCTCACATAGTGAACATAGTATGAGCACACAGTGAGTGCGCTGTGTGGTTACACTTTTAGCTCACTGTGACACACACATTGTGACCACACCATGAGAATCATGTGAGCTCATGGTGACATCATTGTGAGATCAAATTGTTGACTGGGTAAGCTATGCTAAAACTGAAGAATGACAACAGGAACTCTGGTACTCTGACAGTAAAGCAGTGGAGCACCTAGTAACATAATACAGATGCCAAACCAACATCTGTTGTTAACAAATAAGCCTGTATATAAATCTGTTTTCATACATTACCTTTCATGAAACTCTATTTGTTAATAAGTTCAGTCTCCGCCAAAAAGCATTATTACCTATACTACACTCTAAAAAATGCTGGGTTTGTCCCTATTTTACCCAGCACTGGGTTGTATTTAACCCAGCATTTTTTAGAGTGTAGAATTACCTACTGTGGCCAAAGAAAAATAAATAAATTTAACCTCTTCCAGGGCCCATATTTACAAAACAGAGACTTCTGGGAATCCATACTCTGGTCTCAAGAGACCAAGTCAATCATTCCGGATCCAGAAGTATCCAAAATGTCCTGGTGTTGCTAGAGGAGGAGTACAGAGAGAAGTGCCTGGTTCCCACAGTGACGTTCAGTGGTAGTAAAGCTTTTATATAGGGATGTATGAGTGCTGAAGGTGTGAGGGAGTTGTGCTTTATCAATGCTGGCATGAATTCACACGCCACTGTGTGATGTAATACAAAAACTTGAAACAGAAGATGCTACCCTCCCCTCATTCCCTGCATTATTGGGCATTTTTTCAGCATGACAATGAACATATTCATTCTCCCAAGGTAAAAATCCTTCAGTGGACATGTATTTCACTCAGTCTTAACGCTCTTGAGCAGTTGTGAGAGATTCTGAGACGAGCTGAGCAACACTCCCCATTAAAGACCAGGGCATTCATAAACAGCACAGATGTGACAATTTGTCATTAACTTGTACACTCAGTGCCAAGAAGTGTCAGAGCAGTATACTTTAAGTTCTGGAGGACATACTAAGTACTAGAATATTATACATTTTCTGAATTAAATCTAGGGTGTACTCATTTCTGCAATCCTTCATTTAAACAAAATTGGCTAATTTACTTATCTTACAGAAAATGTTGGCATATGTTTTGTTGTTTTTATTAAGCATATGTTTAATATGTTTACATTTTGCCATCTTTCCATGAATTATATTAGTGATCATTAAGAAAATACATCTTTTATATTTATTCAGAGGGGGTGTACACATTTATGCTGTGCACTATATATATATATATATATATATATATATATAGCGATAAATGTAAACTATTATTTCTATATATACAATCAGCAACTTTAAATGGATAGTTTTATATCGTTTTTAATTCAATTATATTATTTGCAGTGCTTCATGGGATTGTAGTTCTTTCCCTTATTAAAGCCCAGTCTTGTATTTTTGCCTTTTTGTTGGATTTTCAAAAACTTTTTGTTCCCCTAAAATGACTGAACCAGAGGGTTAGGAGTGTAAAGGTAACATGCAATGTGTTCATCCGCGTCCTTCTCGCTCCAGATCCGTGTCTGTTTCCCATCACGCTGTCTGCTCATACGAAACTGCTCCCATGGCTCTATTGAGACAATTTTTACTGTGTCTCTCTCAATACTTTAGTCTCAAGGATCCAGACGCTACCAAAAACTCCAGACTTGGACTCTTAAAATGCACTTTAACCGGATTTGAAGCGCTGTATCGCTCCACAGAGATGTGCGTGGTCCAAAAGTCTTCCAGCTGACCTCGGACTAATGCAGTAAATTCATTACCGTGACCTCTCCGGCCCTGCAGACAGGCTGCCAGATAACTACTGCTGAAAGTAAACAAACAAGGGTGTACACGGGGAAGGAGACAATGCTGGCCCGGCCCTCTCTTTTCCTGTAAACACACATACTCACGCACGCACGGCTCCTTCCGAGGTCCCTGCTCAGTGTGGGAAGACTCCTCTGGAGACCCAGGCGGCTCCTTCACTCCCCTCTCGCTCTCTGAACATCTCTATTTCCTCCCTCTGCCTTGTTCTTTTGTGTAAAGCTACAGTGTTGATTTCGATGTCCATTTAATCTTTGTTGACCTTCATCTTTCTCACACACATGCTTCAAACTCTTAGTTGCGTGTCATGCACAATGACATCCTGGTGTGTGTTTCTGTGTGTTCCCAACTGGGAGGAAGCCACGTTGCACAAACACTCATTTGCAAATCCGTGCAATTGCATGACAGGGTCCTGAATGAGATGGGGGGGCGTCATCACGGCGCCTCCTGCAGTCTGGGCGTAAGGTTGAGTTGACGGGGTTCAGCTGCACGCGATCAGGAAGATGGACCAATCTGACACTAATGCATACGAATGAGCGTGTTATAAGGTTAAATATGCTGCTGAACGGCAAACGATTAACACCCTATTCTTCACCCCGACATTACACATCTACAGTGTATGATCAATGAAGCTATCAGTGATTAAAATGACCAAACTAAATTAGCAAAACGAGTTCACTACCGTTAAAATAAACAAAGATGTCAGTGGACGAAACAACAAAACTAAAATTAGAATTTTAGCCATTAGAATCAACAAAGTAGACGAAACGACAAATCTAGAAAGTCAACAAAGATGTCAGTGGTAAAATGACAAAACTAGTACATCCTTATTATCAACAAATTATCATTATTGCTTATTATCAGCAGACAAAATGATTATATTCGAATGGCGCATTATAATCATTTGTAAGTCGCTTTGGATAAAAGCATCTGCTAAATGAATAAATGTAAATAATTGACAAAGATGTCAGCAGATGAAGCAGCAAAGCTAGTACGCTTGAGTTAGAACCAGTGTTAACTAAAACCAATAAAAAAGTATAAACATTTTCAGCAGACAAAATGTTTACAATAGAATGAACTGTTATTATTGTCAAACTACTATGCTAATATACAGATTCATATGTTTGAGTTGAGATTAAGTGTTTTTAACTAAAATTCGAAATTTTGTTAATTGAAATAAAGCTGAAAAAATATAAACATTAAATAAAAAAACTTTAAAACCCTAAATATAAATTAGAAATATTGCCTACCAACTGATACCAAATAATTAAAACTGGAAATAATATAACTACAGCTAAAATTTTGCCTTAACCAACTGAAATAAAATAAGTTTAAGTTAAAGTAAAAGTACCTAAATTAAACTGAAATAAAATTTAATTAAAGCTAAATAGAAATATATATGTTTTAATCTAATAAAAAAAAGATAAAAGCACATAACAAAATTCCTAAAACAAACTCAAATTAAAACAGAAAATATTAATAAACAAAACTGCCAGTAGACAAAACAACTCAACTAGACAAAACTAGAGCTTTTGTTATAATCAGCAAAGCTGTTGAAATGAAAGAAATAGACGATATAATTATAAATAAAGCTGACAATGAAAAACTAGAATGCTTGAGTTTTAATTAACAAAAAGTAAACGGATACAGATCAGAATGGCCCATTAACAAAGATGTCAATGGATGAAACGAAACAACAAAAACAGAACAAAACTTATACGCTCTCATTAATATCCAAAACTATCAGCAGATGAAATGACAAAACTAGTATACTCCTATAATACTCAGCTGCAGAATGACGAGACAAAAGCCGAACGACAAAACTAGCATGCTCCCATTATAACCAACAAATCTGTGAGCAGACGAAATGACAAAAGCAGATTATAAGAGGATGACTGGTTTCGTCATGTTGTGAGGCGTTTGGTCCTCCTTGCTGTGGTATATGCATTAGTGTGCTGTTACCTGATTCCTCAGCGTTAACTGTGGGAAGAGGACAAAGAAGGACTCCTGTTGAGTCCAGCGTGGTCTAAATGACTGCACATGTTGGAATTTGATGCTATTTGTAGTTACAGTTCCAAAGCTGGACAAGGCCTTTGGGACCCCCTCCCTCTCCCCATCTGTCCCACTCAAGCTGTTATTCACTCATTCGGGAACTCACGATCAAGATGTTTTTGACTTGGCATTACAATGGTTGCACATTCTGTTGGATAATGCAGAGGAAGATGCAGTCGAGAGTAATAGTGCTGGGCTTTGGGACATGCCGTCATGCCAGCACATGCCCGGCTTTCTGCATAAACACAAACACTGTCACGTGTAATTCATGCACAGCTTCTCATTGGACACTGGCCACACACAGGCTTTCCCATAATGTTGAACAGTCAAACATCTGCGTGACTTGCTTCCATTTGTCTGTCATTGTTTTCTAGTCTCTTAGCCTTTATTTCCACCTAAACCAGACATGACACAAGTTGTCCTCATTGAAAGTGTGCAACGCAAAAAATATACCCAATCTGAATGGTTTTGTTGCTGATATAAAATATATGGTATATGGTAATGTATATGTGGTAATGGTGAGCATGATGTGACAGAAAAAGCATGCAAAAGTGGCCAATCACTTTTTAAAAAATGCCTTGGTTGCGGAAGTATTTTTCACATTCATTTTCTCCATAGGCATTTAAAAGAAAAGACTTCCATATAGAGTTTTAAAGTAGCAAACGAACAAGACATTACAAATTTTGATTTGATGCAGAATTGTTGGAAAAATGACAAATGTATATTGAACATTATGAGGAAACAAACTGCTCTTCCCATAGAGCATTGTACATTGTATAAATCATTCCCAACAATAAAATGTTAAATTTAAGTCAAATTTATATTACATATAAATATGTGTATGTGCATCAGGGTTATTTTAGTTAACTAAAACTGAAACTAAAGTTAAAGCCATTAAAAAATGATCATGAAAAAGTTACTTAAAATAAACTACTTATTTCAGCTAGTTGCAGAGGCCACTTTTCTCATTTTAATTTAACCTAATGTACTAAAATAACTAAAACTGAAACAAAAATGGATCAAAACTATATAGACACATATGAAAAAACAAAAGTACTAAAACGAAAATGGAAAATATAAAAATAAAAACTGATTCAAAAAAATAATAGTATCCTCTTGATGCTCAAAACACATTGATGTGCATATATGTGTGCAAATACATATATAGAGATATGGACAGTATCATTTTAAAATGTGAAAAATGTAATTTTATATATATATATATACGAAAAAAATATTTATATTCAATATATTTTATTGATATATTTGTTACAAAATATTCAAATATATACAAATATATAAATAGTTTGAGTGTTGGGAACAGTTTTTAAATACATTTCTGACATTGTACCAACATTTAACAGTTTCTGAGCTTGCAAAACATTTATGTGGTTACTAAATATGAATATCTCTATGGAGAAAATTAATATGATTCTTACTTCTGAAACTCTAGTGTTGCGCTCAACAACAAATGATCTTGATTTGCATAGCATTTTGCAGTTAGAGGAAAATACCAGACTAATATGGAAGAGATTCAACAAGAACTGACGTGTTATCGGGTCACACCTCGTTGTGATCAAGTTTGATCTTTTGTAATAGAAACATCCTTGTCCCAGATGGGAGTAAAAGACGTCACGAGAGCGTGAATGTAACATTTGGAGATGGACAGAAGGCGTGAGATGCACTGGCTGATTCAGGCACTTTCTTTTAATCTCAGAATGTTCAGGAGCATCAGACAGACAGAGAACTCACTCTCCTGGACACTAATAAAAAAATAAAACTGCTCCTCTTTTAGTCACGCGTCAGATAGTACTACTGCAAAAGCTTTTCACAGGAAGGGGGGGGGGGGGAACGGGGAAAAAAACCAAAAAAAGGGAAAAAAAAGAAAAAATTTATTTTTGATAAATACAGAAGTGGGGGGGGGGGGGGGGGGGGGGGAATCGAGGATAGACACCAGAAAGAGAGACAAATAGGACATAAAACATCAGCTGACAAATAGGATCACAGTCGTCATGACAAGTCCACCGATTGGCTGGATGTTGTTTTGAAGGATGATGCTGATAGACCAGCAATTGGACATATATTTTGAGAACTTCACAACAACTTGCACAGTGTTCAGATGGTAGTTTTTTCTTGTTTGTTAGTTGTACTAGTTTGTGTTGTGCTTAAGACAAAGGCAGAGAAAAAAGACATCTTGTTTTTCGTCCTGTAGGAGGGGTACATCGATTTTGAGGCTGGTTTTCATTTCAAAACATCGATAACAGGCACATACATCTCACAAAACCCTTTAAGAACATGTCCGGCTCATATCGCACCCCAAAAGCAAGCGCAAAATTTTTCTTATTGAAAATAAAAACCATTTTTAGGTATTTGCATTGTGATATTATTTTCTTGATAATCAAGCACGTTCATTTATTACAGCAGTGCAACAACTTACTCTACTAAGTATAAATAATAGTAATATTTGCTGTATTCTTTTTCTTGTAATAAAAATCAATTATGGAATTATGGAAGTTACATGGTGTTATGGTGCACTGTAAATGATTTTTCAAAGTTATAAAAAAAAAGATTGGAGTATGTAACAAGAAATTTTTATTTCAGTCTTGGTGCTTTAAAATATCACTTCAATTCAATTTGTGAAATCCACAAGCAGTTTCTGAGTGTAAAAGTTTTTGAAAATGAAAGCCCATTTCCTCCACTGAATAAAAAAGGTAATTGCGACTTTTTATATATAAACTTGCAGTTGTGAGTTATAAAGTCAGAATTGCGAAATATAAACTCGCAATTGTTACTTTTTTTCTCAGAATTGCGAGTTTGTATCGTGCGATTCTGACATCTGAATTTGTTATGATAAACAATCAGCATAGCATATTGCCGCTGGTTATTTTTAACGCATAAAGAGGTCTAAAAAGCATAATATCACACTAAAACAAGTTTAACAGTGTGATGCCTTTTATAATTAAATTAAGAAGTTATTATCATATAGTTATTATTGCTATACTTCACTATAGTGTTCTGTACTTTAGTCTTGATTCCTTAAAAGAATCTAACTCAGCCCTTTTTCTTTTGTTGACCCAAAAGTGAACTGAGTGAGAAAAACCCAGTTTGCAAGAACAATCCCTTTGCATGAACATTGATTTTGATTAATTATTAAAAAAATTTAACATAACACTTTATAATAATTCTAAAAATAATAATAAAAATGTAATTTATACATTCAATTTATCATATTGAATTTTAAAATGCAGTAAATTACATATACATATGCATACATATATATATATACACACATATTTTTTTGGAAACTGTGATACTTTTTTTCAGGATTCTTTGATAAATAAAAAGTTATAAGGAGGGCATTTATTTAGAATGGAAATCTTTTCTAACTATATACACTAACGTTCAAAAGCTTGGGGTCAGTACATTTTTATTCTTTCTTTTTTTGAAAGAAATTAAAACTTTTATTCAGCGAGGATGTGTTAAATTGATAAGAAGTGACAGCACAGATTTACATTGTTAGAAAAGATTTATATTTTGAATAAATGCTGTTCTTTTTAACTTTTTATTCATCAAAGAATCCTGAAAAAAATATTGCAGTTTCCAAAAAAATATTTGGCAGCACAACTGTTGCCAACATTGATAATTCTCATAATAAATCAGCATATTAGAATGATTTCTGAAGGATCATGCGACACTTTATACTGGATTAATGGCTGATGGAAATTCAGCTTTGCATTACAGAAATAAATGATATTTTAAAGGATATTAAAATAGAAACATTATTTTATATTGTAATAACATTTTGCTAGATTATTATTTTTTCTGTATTTTTGATCAAATAAATGCAGCCTTGATGAGCAGAAGAGACTTATTTAAAAAACATTACAAGTCTTACTGATCCCAAACTTTTGAACGGCAGTGTATATATATACACTCACAAATACACAAATAAGGCATATATATATATAAAACATACATTTTAAATGAATACTTATATCTATAACCATATATATCTAACCGTATTTCATTAAAATAATCTATTTATGAATAAAATTGTTATATAATTTAATTTCTAAAAACAAAATTTTATTTAATTTAAATTAAATAAAGTTGTTTATTTATTTAAAGAAAGATTCAAACTCAGAAGATTCAAACAAATTCATAAAATAGTTAAAATTCTTTAAAAATGATTATATAAAAATGGAAACAATATACTGCCCCTAGTGTCTAAATAATATACTGCAAGTAAGGAGTCAAAGTACACTAAAACAGTACATTGTGATGCCAATAACTTTACTAACTTGTTTTGCACAAACAAATGATTCATACAAACTCACCTGTTCCAGGTAGAAGCGGTTAGAGTGTCTGTGTTGGTCGTAGAGATGTCCCAGAATGCAGTGGTGGGGCTCGGAGAAGCTGATTGGGGCGAGCGTCTGCATGGACGGCTCTCTCTTCTGAGAAGAGTTAGACGAGCTGTCTGTGGCATTCTGACGGACAGACAGAGAGAGCAAGAATAGAAATTGTTTCCCAATTTGAGCATGTTGGCAGGATCATGGTGGCACAAACCAAACGAATCCTCGGCCTTGAACAAAGGTCACGGAGTTGTATTTTTCGCTGAATTTCCAGCAAAAATAGCCTTGTTGAGATTTATAGCGTTACCATGATATAAGATTAATTATAACTTGGATTCAGCAAAAAAAATAGAACATTGAAATGCATCAAATCATCACTTCACATTTAACATTCACCATGTCAGAAAAAAAAGCAGAAAGTGTTTGTATAAAAACAGAAATGGATCTGTATAAAAGCATTTCAAACGTTCCACAGCAACACAGTACAGGTCATTCTGCTTGACCTCTGACTCTGTGTATGGGTACACGAGGTTTGTGTAAATGAAGTGCTTGAGTACTATCATCAGCACTATTATCTCTGACCTTCAACCCCTGAAATCCACACTGTCTCCTTCCTGTGGCTCTTCCTGAAGCCTGGAGCCTGAATGAGAGCCAGCAGTGTGTGTGTGTGAGCATCTGCTTTAAGAGTTGACAGAGAGCCACAAAGCCATCAATAACTCAAGTGTGTGTGTGTGTGTGTGTGTGTGTGTGAGAGAGAGAAAGAGAGAGAGAGAGAAAGAGCTTGAGATGATTACAAACACAGCTCTCCTCTCTTAAGTCATCTGGCTCCTTTCTTCTGCAAAGACTGAAATCTACCCTACACTGTAAAACACGTTTGTTGAATTTACAGCAGAAATCTGGCAGCTGCAGCATCAGGGTGACACATGTGAAACACACACACTAAATAATGCAGTAAACAATAACTAGACAACAAAAAGTAACGTAAACACCCCAATATGCACAACATAGGAAAACAAGAAGAAATTACCATTTAAATAAAATATAAGCAAATGTGATGCATCTTTTTGGACTTTTGGGAATTTTGTTTTATGTTTTCAACCAGAAATTAAAAGGTTTTACAAAAACAACCAAACAACAATTATTTTAGCAATATTTTAACATTAAAGTACATCTATTGTCTTGTTAAAAAAAATTTACTTTCAATTTTCATTTTACTTGCACAATATGTACAATATTTTACTGTAAATATACACAAGTAATTTTATTCACCATAAAAAATAAAGTGATTTATACATTATATTTACAAAAAAAAAAATCTATATTATTATTTTAAAAAAACAATAATAATAACAATAATAATAAATAAAAGATAATATATGAGGCGTATTCAAATATAAATTATAAGATAATTTATACAATTAATTTATAAACATGTTATAATTTATTTCTTACATTTATTGCAGAACTTTTTTTATTTGTTAATTATAATACAATTATACAAATATTATAATCTTCAACATAAGATTTAAAATTAACACTAAACATTTTTACTGTAGATAGATAGATAGATAGATAGATAGATAGATAGATAGATA